AAGAAGGTAGATGACCCGGATGGATGCACAATGCTGGCTTGCTGTGAATAACCGCATTTGCCACAATGGTGCAGCTTCTTGGTGGCCACAGAACCCTTGGAGGACTTTACTGTCCCCAGAGCCCCAGTCTGCCGGGAGGATGCCTCACAACTGAAAGGGAGCTTTGACTTACATATTAAACTTACAATATTAAACATTCTGGATTAAATTCTGTAAAAGAACAGACCAGGGGCCTGGGAGATGTCTTACTTGGTAAAAGTCCTTGCCATACAAGCACGAGGATCTGAACTGGATCTCCAGGACCCGTGTTAAAAAAGCTGGGCATGGTGGTGCTCTCGTGATCTGCTAGGAGGCAGAGCCAGCAGGATCCTTGAGAATCACTAGTCAGCAAGCCTAACCGCTTCAAAGAACAAGGTGGATAGTGTCCTGAGGACACACGCCACACACACGCACACAATGAGGCATTTCAAATCCCCGCGCCATCAGTTCCTCTGTGCCAGGTGGTGACTGGGTGAGGTCCCCGGGTCCCTGGGTCTCTTTGCTATAGCACCATGGGCTCCAAAATTTCCAGACTTTTGGAACTCACCTGTCTGATTTTGTTTATTCTTGTATTTCTCTCTAATGCATTTCTGGGTGCTTATGTTGCTATAAAATAGGCAGTCACCTCCAGCCACTTTTACATATGTCCTCTGAGCTGCATATGATACTCAAGGACGGGGAATAAAATGATGTCCTTGCAAGAATTGTGTACAAAGTAAGAGGCAGGGGCTTAGAGCAAGGAAGGCTTGAGGGGTTCCCTTCCCAAGTAAGGGATTGGACTCTGTGATATTTCTGCTGTAAGTCATGTAAGTCTCTGATTAGTCCAGCCTTTCAAATGCCCTTCGGTGAGCCAATGTCAGCATGCATAATTAGTGGACGGTGCCTTTGGCAAGGACCATAACCAGAAAGCTATATCTAGCTGTGTATAAACCAAGATCATTTTGGCTCAAAGGTGGCTAAATATACCTATCTATCTATCTATCTATCTATCTATCTATCTATCTATTCACATGCATGCATGCTGTGTATGAGCATGTGTACATACAATGACAGTCACAAAATAGACTCATCTTGTCTTTTACTTTATTACCTCTGCACCCTAAGAAGATGCCTTGGAGACAAAGGACTAGGATAATGACACTATTGAGCTGGAAAGTCCTTTCAAAGCCCATTCATAGGGCTTTCCATTTTGATTCAGGAATCTCACTTCTAGCCAGGTGGGCATCTTACTCCTCTCTTGCTTAGATCCGGGAATGGGGAACTCACTTTTTTTTTTTCTGAGTCTAACTTCATGGGTGGAAATGAAATCTCTGACAGCTAGGAAGTAACAGAGCGACACCCCTGCCATGTCTGATCTGCATTTCGTGGGAAGATGTTAAGTTTCTTGCAGTGTTTTGATGTGGATGTCTTGTAGGGGGTAAGGGATAAGAACATGGGAATTATGTGAATGGGAGGCCGCTATTACCTGAGTGAGGTGGGCATCCATGAAGGCAGCCATAGGAAGTAGCTAGGTCTGGAGGCATCAGAAGGTGCCAAGTCTGTCTGGGCGGTGGTGGCGCACGCCTTTAATGCCAGTACTTGGGAGGCAGAAACAGATGGATCTCTGAGTTCGAGGCCAGCCTGCTCTACGAAGTGAGTTCTAGGACAGCCAGAGCTGTTGCACAGAGAAACCCTTTCTCTCAGACAAGAACAAAAAACCAGCAACAGCAACAAAAAAGAATGTGCAAAGTCTGAATTAAAGATACCTTAATATACTGTGGTGTGTGTGTGTGGAGAGAGAGAGAGAGAGAGAGAGAGAGAGAGAGAGAGAGGAGAGAACTGATGGACTTCGTCCCAGGAAAGAGGGCAAGTACCCTGGGAAAGACACAAAAGATAACCAGCTCATCTTGAAAGCCACATGACCTGGATCTGCATTATACTCTGTGTTTATTTCCACCCTGTGGTCTCTGAGCGTTTGGAAAAGTCTGCTCGAAATGTTCCAGCCTGGCAGCTTAGTAATGGTAGTCAATGGTATTTATTTCCCCAGAGCTTTGGTGGGGAACGATGACTTCTGAGACACACTCTAGGTTTTAGGGATTACCAAAAGACTCCTAAAAGAAATATGAATATTGAGAAGCAAGAATTGGGCCCTGGCGGTGATCTGCCAGCCTCTCTTCACTGGCCACTCACCCCATTGCTGGTGTCCTTTTGTTAAGCAAGCTGCCAGCGTGCTGAAGAAAGTCATCCCTTAAGTTGGCCTGGAATCTGTCTCCGCGTGACTTTAGCCACAAGAGTCAGTTCTCTAGAGTAGGGAGCAGAACTAACTGTTAACCAGCCACAGCCACTGAATGCTGACTCTGAGCAGGACACATCACGGAACGTGGTAGAGTGTCTCATTGGTGTGAGTATCCCATTTCACAGATGGAGACACTGATAGGCAGGAACAGCAGATAACTTGTCGAGGCTAGACTTCAAATAAGTGGCAGGATTTGAACTTAAACAGTCTGATGTTAGGGCCACGGCCTTGTCCCCTAAAATACGGTCTTATATGACAGCTCCATGGAGATATGCAATCTATGATCCTATCCTTTTAGGCCATTTTGTGGGGACAGAATAAAACTTCAGCCTGTTCGCCCTGCCGTCTCTCTTTATGTGTGAGCAGGGGGAAGGCCGCCTTGGCCAGTGGTCTGGGGACAAATGTAGAGACTGCTAAGCCCTGGTCTCTGTGACCTCTAATGACCTGCCTGTCTCACCTTGTCACCCAGGACAACCTCCCTGAAGCCTCCGGAAACACCATTTTAGCAACTCTCCCCTCAGGAGGCTGTACTTTTCCTGTCTGTCTTCAACATTTCTTTTGCCAGAACAACAGGCTGCTTTCCCTTCTGATAAATCTGGTCACCCTAAATATGGGGCTTGGAGCACACAGGAGCGCTGGCCCCACGCAGCCCTCATTTCCAAATGCAGATTCACATTGGGCTGCTATTTTGGAGGTCTGGTTTCCTTCCACACACAGTGGTTTTCAGTAAGAGAGGAGGAATCTTGGCAGGGAAAAGGTGCTAGGCGGGAAGACGTACCTGGGAGTCTTTGTCCCTAAGATCCCGGCCCTCTAGATGATCACATAAAGGTCACACAACAGAGGGAGATTTGGCATTGTACATCCCCTTTGTTGGCCAGTGGGGTCCATGTCAAACAGCTGAAGTCCTAGGAACAAAGAAGCAGCCTAAACACCAGCAAGAGGATGGCTCAGCAGGTAAAGGCCCTTGTCACCTAGCCACAAGCCCAATGACCTCAGTTTGACTCCCACAAGCTGTCTTCTGCTCTCCACGCAAGGGTCATGGCAATCTCCGACCCATCCATATACATACTCATAGAGAACTAACGAAATAAACAAATACAAATGAAAAATGGAAACTTATGCCGAGCCACATTAGGGTCCCGGTTCCCCCAAAAGTACATTACCACTGTTGTGTCCAAAATGACAGTCTGTGGCTGTCAGGGAAATAGAAGGATTGCTGGAGGAGACAAAAGCGTTCTCTCAGCGTTCCTTAGAAACCTGTGAAATGGGTTTTTGTCTGCCAGGAAGGGCCACTTCCTTCTCTCCCCTGCCTGTGATGAACGGAACGGGGCATCTGGTTCTCTACTGGCATATGCCTCCGGTAATATCAAAACCCTTGTTAACTTTCAGGCTCCTTCGGTCCCTATGAGCATATCAAAGCCACTGGGCTCTTCTGGCCCACAAGCCCCATTCTGGCTCTTCTTACCTCCCTGATTCCTCCTCCACTATGAGAGCTCCCAGGCTGTTCCAGTCCTGCCCCCCCTCCACCCTCTCCCATCCCAGCAGGTTTCTTTTATAACAAGTAAGGCTTGCTTCTTTTTGCCCCTGAGATGGCCCTGGCAGTCACCTTCTGCTGGCTTCAGTGCCCCCACCCCCAACCCTGTAGCCATGGAAGCTTTGGACTCCACCAAAGGGCTCTGGCTCTTCTTTTTCTACAACCTGAGAGATAGGCACGCAGGGGTTTCATATTTACAATAAGCCTTTCTTCGCTTTGTCTGTGAAGTGGTCCAGTTCACTGCACCCAGCGGCTTACAAGCCAAAGTTACACACGGGCACATGGTGCTCAGCTGGGTTCGCTGTGGCCTAGACAGGACTTAAATCAGTTGCACTTAGCAATTGGAACAACTGTCCCTATCTCACCAGAACACTTGGCTTGACTCTGCCAGCTTACCTTCTCAGAGGGGAGTTGGCCTAGGTGATCCTCATTCACGCAACAGACAGGGTTGAGCTCCTACTGTGCACGGAGGGAACTTCTGGGTAGAAGATGCATACAACGCCTCTGCCATCTAGACCAGGGCGTGCACCCTACCAAGCACCCTACGACTAACTGGAAAGTGGTGTGAGGAAGGTGAAAAGTGGAGGGAAGGGAAGCTGGCAGAACCTGAAGGGAGCCGCCACTCAAGCGGTACCTTGTTAGCTCCTGGTCACCTCAGGACCTCGGTCTCTCCATCTCTAGAAATGACCTAGTTGGCTTGGAAAATAAACCCTTCTAGGGGTGGCATTCTTATGCTAAGACTCCATGATCAAGGAATGTCTGGCCGGAATTGTTCCACTGAATTCCAAGCAATCCCCCTCCCTTCTCTGGGTAGTCCTGGCCAGGAGCAGGCCTTGGAGCTGGCTGCCAGCCGCACGGAGCCTGGGCTCTCTGCCCGGGGGCGGGACCCTTTTCGGCGTCCCACCCCTTCACCTGGGGCTCAGCTAGGCAGATGTTACAACTTTTTTGCCCTCTCTTATGCTGTGTCCCTTCCCAGACCCGCCCAGCCCGTGTCTCCCTCCCCTTCCCTTGTGGGGTCCTGCCCACCTCTCTGTGGGGAGCATTGCTTTGCGGGGACTCCGGGCGGGGTCAGAAGCTAAGCTGGGGGAAATTGGGGGTCGGGGAGGGAGGAGAAAGGGAAAGCAGAAGTGAGAGAAATTAAGAGGCGGGAGGGATCGAGGTAAAAAGGCAGCGAAGAGTCCCGGGATGGTGGAGAGCACTTTTGGGAAGCCGCCACTCCACGACTCGGGCTGGCCGGGCTGAGCTGGTGGAGAGGGAGCGAGGGCTGCGGGAGGCGGCTCGGCGCGAGCTTGACCTTCCCGGGACGCCCAGCTGTTCCACCGCGGACCCCAGAAGAGACCCCCGGGGGCTCTCACTGCAGTCAGGAGGGCGGACGAACAGGCGGGTGGGCAGTGCGCCCCTGGCGCGGGAGGCTCTGAGGCCCTGGGAGCCCCGCGTGCCTAGCTAGGCGTCACGATGCATGCCCTCTCTGGATTCTCCCTGGTCAGCCTGCTCAGCTTGGGCTACCTGTCCTGGGATTGGGCCAAGCCCGGCCTCGTGGCCGATGGGCCTGCGGAAGCCAGCGATCAACCTTCGGCAGCTCCACCGCAGCCTCCTCACATCATCTTCATCCTCACCGATGACCAAGGGTACCACGACGTGGGCTACCACGGCTCAGATATCGAGACCCCAACGCTGGACCGGCTGGCAGCTGAGGGTGTCAAGCTGGAGAACTATTACATCCAACCCATATGTACACCTTCTCGGAGCCAGCTCCTCACTGGCAGGTAGGCACGACTCAGACTCTCCGTACTGGGTGCCCAAATCCCCGACTAACCTGGCTGGTAGGTTGCAGACCCAGCGGAACAGCCCTGTGAACGTGTTATAGGCTAGCTTTGCGAGTGACATCCGTTATCGATAAGTCCCTTGCCTTCTTTGGGCCTTAGTTTCTCAACCCTCATATTCAATGCTTCTGATGGTGTTCGAGACCTACTCTGTAGAGTTCTAGGATAACTCATGTTCCACACGTGTGTTCCTTTCTTTATCAGAGGACTCTTTTACACTTATTTTGAATATTTAGTGTATTGACAGATGGGGAGTCAGTTAAAATGGAGTGAAGGGCAGTTTCTATCTTGAAAGGGTGAAAGGTAAATGAATTATGTGTAACTTTCCTATCTCTCAATAAATGACAGCCTCTGTCTTTGATCCTGGAAAGATTCTGGTCCCTTGTCATGGATGGCTCCGTTGGGAGAAGATGAAGGAATCATGAGATGCAGAGCCCTTAGCCTGAGGCTGTTTGATTGCTTCACTTTTCCAAGTCTCCAAGTTTTTTAATAGAGACTCCTCCCCAGTGCTGAATCCTCTTACAATGAGCTGTTCCCTGATGGGACTGGAGATTACAAGAGCAAAAGAGCTGGGCAACAGGAGGGAGTTGTGGAAGGCAAACTCCCTTCACTTGGGAGAAAATCCTTGGACTGGGCTGAAGCTAATTCTCCATGGAAGGAAGCTGTGGTATGCTTTGGGATCTACTGAGATCCCAGGACCAGAGCCCATCTCTCCCTGTTTCCTGGGTGGGACAATGAGTCGTGGAATCAGAGAGAGAAAGAGAGAGAGAGAGAGAGAGAGAGAGAGAGAGAGAGAGAAAGGCCAACTTAGTGTCTCTGCCCTTCAGGCTCTTACGAAAGAGAGGGTTGCGAGGTCAGATGCTGGGCTGGCGTCACAGAGCTGGAAATCAGCTGGCGGTGCTTTCCCTCTTTCCATCTGTGTCCCGAGTTTAGATCCAGGGACTGTGAAGAAGAGCAGGAAGAGGGAAAGGGGTAGGCGGTTTTGTTGCAGGTGTGGCTTGGTAGTGGGGTAGACCCTGGCACGGGACAATGACTAACCCCCTAAAGAGGGAGGATAATCTGCCATTGTGCTTCCCTCCCTGGAGCAACAGGACTTTGGGAAGCATCTGAATGGGAAGCCAGGCTCTTATTGGTGAAGTGAACAGAGCATCACAGGGCCAGCTGGTGTCTGCTCTTGTCTTGCAGATGCTTACTCCGTGGCTTCTGTAGCCAGTCCTGTTCGGTGGACCTGGAGAGACCCAAAGTTTCTCATGTTACTCCCTGACAAATGAACTTTGGCAAGGCTTAGCTGGCCCACCCACATTACAAACCAGTGCTTCAGGCACCCCACCCTTATGCAGAAACGCTCAGCTGGGAGTCTGGGCCCCAGGACGCTTTTCCCGTCAAATCCAATCATTTCTCAGTTTGCCTGAGGCCTGAAGAAACTGTATCACACAGAGATTTTGAGCATGAGTTGGGTAGGCCTGAGTTTAAAACAGTTCTAGTTGCCAGTTGTCTGATTTTGGGTCACATATTGCACTGGTGTGTGTGGGGGATTCAGTTTCATTAATTGTAGGTTGGGGATTGTGATAATGTCCCATGTATATTTCACAAAAGAGGTGTAGGTTGGTGAGATGGCCCAGCAGGTACAAGTGCTTGCTGTGTAAGCCTGGTGACCTGAGTTTGATTCCTGGAGCCCACTGTGGAAGAAAGCTGACTCTGGAAAGTTGTCCTCTGACCTGACGAGTGCATGCCTTGGCATGAGTAGACCCCAACTCATGAACACACACACACACAGTGAGGGGAGAATTAAATGAGTGTGTGGCACGCAAAGTCTTAAGAATGGTTTTAAGGAAAGACTGGTGTCAAATACCAAGTACTCAGGCTAACTCAGCTGCGTAGGGGTAAGGAAAGGTGTGGGAATTCTAACCGCCTTGTGACATTCCAGTTGGTTTATTGACTTGCAGCTTTTAAGACACCTTAAAGCAGATCACCCAGATCTCTAGCCACAGCAGCAGAAGATACAATGTAAACGAATAAGGGAAACCCAGGATTCTGCTACAAACTTACTGTGTCATCTGCCTGGGTGGCAAGCCTTGGACTCTCAGTAGGCACGTCTCATAATGCCTGAGAGTACCGTGCCTCTTAGGGATTTCCCATTCCAGCCAGCTCACTTACACGAGTAAACATCAACTGGTCCCACATGTGAGGAGCTGGGCAGGCGACTTTGCTTGAAAACACTGTTGCTCAGACCTTTTGGACTCATGTTCAAGTCTCAGCGCTGTCCCTGACTGCTGAGTGACCTTGAACAAAAAGCCCTTCCTTCCTCTGACTTTTGTTGTTGCTTTAAAAAAAAAAAGATTTATTTATTTATTATGTATACAACATTCTGCCTCGATGTATGCCCGCTCGCCAGAGAAGGGCGCCAGATCTCAGTACAGATGGTTGTGAGCCACCATGTGGTTGCTGGGAATTGAACCCAGGACCTCTGGAAGAGCAGCCAGTGCTCTTAACCTCTGAGCCATCTCTCCAGCCCCTGTTATTGCTTTTTTAAATTATTTTTATTTTATGTGCATTGGTGTTCTGCCTGCATTGCATGTATATCTGTGTGAGTTACAGACAGTTGTGAGCTGCCATGTGGGTGCTGGGAATTGACTTTAGAAGAGCAGCCAGTGCTCTTAACTACTGAGCCATCTCTCTGGGCCCTGTTGTTACTTTTTTCTTTTTCTTTCTATTTTTTTTTTTTTAGAAGATGAAAAACCTAGAAGAGGACTTAGTTCACTCTGGCTCCCATACCATCCGAATTCATTCATTCACGTGCTCAGCCAGCCAGCCATTCCTCAAGTAACTGAGTGAGCTTTACATATCACTGAGGTGCTAGGAATAGAAAGACAACCCTATTCTACATCATTGGGCCCAAAAGCATATACAGCTATAGTCCCAGGGCTGAGCAGAGAGCGAAGATGTGCACCAAATCCCTGGTGTGGGGGAGGAGGAGGACCCAGAAACAAAGTACTCGCTCTTTGAGTGAGTTGTAAGAAACTACTGAGGGAATAATACTGCCATGGGTTTTCAAGGAGTAGGGGTTTGCCTTGGAGAGCAGGACTTGGTGTATCCAGGCTCTGCTCTAAGTTTATAGCTTAGAGCTCAGGAATGGGGTCTGGAGCCTCTGCTGGGATACCCAGCCTACACTTCATAATAGTCATGTCAATCATCGAGCTTCAGTTTCTTTATTTGGGAGGTAGGAATAAAAATGTGTACTTCTTAGTTTGCAGTGAGGATTTGGTGAGCAGGATCCAAAGGGAGCGCAATGCTGAAACACATGGGCAAGAACCTGGTATTAGCTCCTAACTGTTGTCATTAGCGAGCCCGGCTCAACTCTCGAGGTGCTAACTTTTGGCTGTGTGGTCCTGGGTGGCAGCCTAACTGTTCTGAGCTGCAGTTAGTCCATCCCATCAATAACCTGGCATAGCTACTTCCACTTGTATGAGGATTTGACAGTATCTGATACCTTTGTTACTGTTCTTGCTGGGGCACCAGACCAAGAACCATCTCAGGGTTGGGAGCAGTGGTCTACATCTCACTTGTATTTCCCATGTATCCATTCTCTACCACCAGGTACCAGATCCACACAGGATTGCAACACTCCATCATCCGCCCACGGCAGCCCAACTGCCTGCCCCTGGACCAGGTAACACTGCCCCAGAAGCTGCAGGAAGCAGGATATTCCACCCACATGGTGGGCAAGTGGCATCTGGGCTTCTACAGGAAGGAGTGTTTGCCAACCCGCAGGGGCTTTGACACCTTCTTGGGCTCCCTCACAGGCAATGTGGACTACTACACCTATGACAACTGTGACGGCCCAGGGGTCTGTGGCTTCGACCTGCATGAAGGCGAGAGCGTGGCTTGGGGCCTCAGTGGCCAGTACTCCACCCTGCTCTACGCTCAGCGTGCCAGCCACATCCTTGCCAGCCATAGCCCTCAGAAACCCCTGTTCCTCTACGTGGCCTTCCAGGCAGTACACACACCCCTACAGTCACCTCGAGAGTACCTGTACCGCTATCGCACGATGGGCAATGTAGCGCGGCGCAAGTACGCGGCCATGGTGACCTGCATGGACGAGGCTGTTCGCAACATCACCTGGGCCCTCAAGCGCTATGGTTTCTATAACAACAGCGTCATTATCTTCTCCAGTGACAACGGTGGCCAGACTTTCTCAGGAGGTAGCAACTGGCCCCTTCGAGGACGCAAGGGTACTTACTGGGAAGGCGGTGTGAGGGGCCTGGGTTTCGTCCACAGCCCCCTGCTCAAGAAAAAGAGACGGACGAGTCGGGCCCTGGTGCATATCACAGACTGGTACCCAACACTGGTGGGTCTGGCGGGTGGTACTACCTCGGCAGCTGACGGACTGGATGGTTACGATGTGTGGCCAGCCATCAGTGAGGGCCGGGCCTCACCACGTACGGAGATCCTACACAACATCGACCCCCTCTACAACCATGCCCAGCACGGCTCCTTGGAAGGTGGATTTGGCATCTGGAATACAGCTGTGCAGGCTGCTATCCGGGTGGGAGAGTGGAAGCTGCTCACTGGAGACCCAGGCTATGGTGACTGGATCCCACCACAGACACTGGCCTCCTTCCCTGGCAGCTGGTGGAACCTAGAGCGGATGGCCAGCATCCGCCAGGCTGTGTGGCTCTTTAACATCAGTGCTGACCCTTATGAGAGAGAGGACCTGGCTGGCCAGCGCCCTGACGTTGTCCGCACCCTGCTGGCTCGCCTTGCTGATTATAACCGGACTGCCATCCCTGTGCGTTACCCAGCTGCGAACCCTCGGGCCCACCCTGACTTTAATGGGGGTGCTTGGGGACCATGGGCCACGGATGAGGAAGAAGAGGAGGAGGAGGAGGAAGGCAGGGCTCGAAGTTTCTCCCGGGGTCGCCGCAAGAAGAAATGCAAGATTTGCAAGCTTCGATCTTTTTTCCGGAAACTCAATACCAGGCTGATGTCCCACCGGATCTGATGGCTGGGGGTAGCAGGGAATCTCAGCTCCTCCTAAGATACTGTCCCATTGCTGCTTCTCAGGGAGAAGGTCAAGTCTCCTCTGCAGCCATGTGGAGGGAGGGCACAGAAAGGGCTGAATCATGTGGGGCTTGGGGGAGGGCACCAACCCGGCTGGGATGCCTGGGTCCCAGTCCTGCCTCTCTCCTGATGTGTTTGTTCTGTGACCTAAGGTTACCTATAGCAGCCTTCTGCCTCAGTCTCCTCACCTCTAAGATGAGCTCTGGTAACTTTATGGCTCCAGTGTATACATGTGACTGGGCTCATGGCAGAGTTCCTTGCTGATCTTGTCCCCTTCCGAATGATGTGAGTCCGTGACTTCTTTCCAGGTCTCTGTGGTGCTCTTGGACATCGGCTGGAGAATAGCCAGCTGCTCTGTTAAAGGACCCGATGAGGATGGAGAGTTTAGGGTATGAGAATCTTTACATTCCCAGAGCCCCCAGATGTGGGAGCTAGTGGAACACCCTCTTTTTGTTCCCAGCGTCCAGGAGGACTCGGCTGGGTCCTGAGGAAACAGCTGTGAAAAGAGTCTTTGAACCAATCATCTCCTTTGGCCTTGGGCACGGTCCTTTACTCCAGGGCCTTGATTTCCCTACTTGCAAAGGGGTAGGGAGATGCTAGTCCTGGCTCGGCCTACCTCACAGTGCTGGAGAAAACTGACCACACTAATGGTTGTGGCAGAGCCTGTGAACTTGATTAAAGTGCCTTTTCCCACAGGCAAGAGATGCTGGTCTCTGTGTGTGCGCGCATATGTGTCCTGGGGGCCTCATGTGAGCTCTCTGTTAGCAAAGGGAACGGGAAGAAAGGTGGGAAGGGAGTCCTGCCATGGGTTCACTGTGTGGCTGCAGGCAAACCCATGACCCTCTCTGGGCCTCAGTGTTTCTCTGCGTACAGCGGATGATCCAGAAGTCTTTGCTTCTGGTTGTTCTGGGCACCACTGTGCACATTTGCATCTGGGGGACCCAGGCTCAGTAGTGGTGAGGACGGGGTGGTGTTTGTAAAGCCTGCTTGCTGCATAACAGCGCTCCATCCGCACACTGCGTTCTGCATATCTCCCTTCAGGTTCCAGTCGGCGCAGTGTGTGTAGGCGAAGGCCCTGCTGTGAATTTTGAAAATAGTTATTTTTGTCACTGGCAAAGGAGGCCTGTTAGGACTCGTCAGCTTGTGGATGAGCGGGATGGGTGGGGTGGGGTGGGTGCAGTGCCGTGGGGGTTTGGGTGGCTGGTTGCAGGACTGCATCACCCCGGCAGCGACTGAATTCTGCATGAGAGCCTGGCCTGGGCTGCAGGGAGGAGGTGACCATTGCATTCTAGGTGCCTCCTTCCAGCCCTGTACTTTTTTGCCTTCCTCAAGCGTTATTTTTAATGATGTGTAGATGTGTGTGTTTGAGTGTGGGTATGTGCGTGTGAGCAAAGTGCCTACAGAGGCTAGAGGCCTCAGATTCTCCTAGAGACGGAGTTGCGGAAGGTGGGAATTGTCCGACACAGGTACTGGAAGCGACTTCCGCCCCCAGAAAAGCAACGTGTGCCCTTCACTGCTGAGCCATCTTTCCAGCCCAGCCCTGTTCTTTTTGCCTTTTCTCATCTCTCCCCACCTGTATGTTTTCCCTTCCTTGGTAATGTTAATGCCCAGATGGTAGACAGGGCCCGGGACTGGCAGAGGTCTCTGGGCTCCTATGGCTATGGCATTTTTGCCTGCTCAGGAGCTCTGAAGAAGATGCTTACTAAGGTGGTGTCCTAGCCTAGTGTGTCCAAGAAGGGCTATTCATAGTCTGCCCACTGCCCAGGACATTTCAGGCCTGCTGTTCTAGCTATGCCTGCTGGCTTGTCACACTGGCACCCAGCCTAGGCTTCCCTGTAAATCCAGGATTTAGGAAACTATACGGATGCTTCTTTGAGGACTACTCAAGGGTATCTGACAGGGATTTCCAATGTCCAGCCCCATCGTCTATTTCCCTTCTGCGGACCCCTTTGAGGCCACAATAGCAGGACCATACATGGCTCCTAAGCTCTGTTCCCTGTAGACAACCTGGCCCCAAAACATAAGGAATAATTGGTGCTCAGACTGGTGTCGATTTCTTAAGTCTTGAAGAGCAGGCTTGACTCAAGCCCTCCTCTGCTCAGCCTTATGCTCAATGTAGAACTCAACAAACTCTGGGTTCTCCTCAACCCAGATGCTGCATAGCCCAGGAGCCACTCGAGCTTCAGTCTGCAACCCGGTCCCCAGGAACTAGCGCCTGAGAGGCTCGGCATAGCAGTCAGTGTGCCCGCTACTTGTTCTCAATATGGTCCAGGCCCCCTCAGTGAGCACACCTGAATCTGTACTATGTCAGTTCCCAGTTGACTACTGTCTTAGACTTACTATTGCTGTGGTGAACACCATGACCAAAAGCCAAACGGGGGCTTTTGAAAAAGAGTGTATTTTTCACTCACAGTTTCTTATAATAGTTCTTCATCATTAATTCAAACAGCAATTTAAGCAGGGCAGCAACCTGGGGGCCAAAGCTGATGCAGAGGCCATGGAGAGGGGTGCTGCTTACTGGCTTGCTCCTTGTGGCTTATTTGACCTGTTTTCTTATAGAACCCATGACTACCAACCCAGGAATGATGGCACTACCCACAATGGCCTAAGCCCTCCCCCATCAATCACTAATGAGAAAATGCCCTACAGCCTGGTCTCATGGAGGTGTTTTCTCAATTGAGGTTCCCTCCTTTCAAATAACTTTAGTTTGTGTCAAGTTGACTTAAAACTAGCTAACACAGCACCTCTAGGTTTTTGTTTGTGTCACCCAAGCCCCCCTGAAGAGGACAGAGTGGAGAGGCACCCAGAGGCAGTCCCTAGGTCAGGTCTCTTCTGGGGCCTCTGTTTCCTCCTGGGCTGGATTAGATGGAGCAGACCCATTAGCTGGAGGAGGGAGGTTTAGGTGGAAGCCTGTATTAGCTGCATCCTAGTTATGGAGTCCTTGCCTCTAGCAACCAGCTCCTCAGAAGCCAGGAAGAGACTCACACCTACCTGCTGGGGCCAGGGCGGTATCTCCTCTTCTTCTAGGCCCTTCTGACTTCTCTGGAGCACAGGCTAGAATCTTGACAAATGCCAGGAAGGGGCAGCGCTCAGGGAACCTGAAACCAGGCTATTGCCCTGACTGCCACTAATTTGTGCACCCATGAGAAGGCTGCCTCTATTGTCTGTACCTTGGTTCCCAGCTCTAAGGGACATGTGGACCCTAACGGTCTACTCAGCTCTATATGGGACCTAATCACGCAAGCCCGGAGTGGTGTGGTCACACAGACCTGGATTTGATTCCTGGGTGTGCAGTAAGTAGTTTCATGGCTCTGCAGGATGGGACCGCTCTACCTGGATTTACCACTTCGCTGCAAGCTCCAAACAGTGTCACGGAAAAATGCTTAGGACAGGGCCTGGCTCTGATGTAGGAGTAACTGCTTCATGTCTTTGGGGTCCAAGAATGAGTGTTTTGTCCCTGACCTTTCCAGGGAAAATGAGACCTCTGGGAAAGCTCTGTTTCCAGCTGTCCTGGCATAGGAATGGAACCTCCAGCTGTGGGCTGTGCATCGCTATTCACCTCACGGGGCATGGGACACCTCAGGGAACCCGGCTGCCTCCTTCCCCTTCTCTCTCAGGCCTGGCATTACTGCCCTAACTCGGTCGCTCTCTACCAGACCCTCACAGCATCCCTTCTCTCCTGGCCCACTTTCTACTGAGCCTGCCCCCCACTTTTTGCTGCCCTTAGTGGGACAGGCCCCATGGGGATCCTTCAGATGGCACGTTTTCTGTGGTGCGTGCTCAGGCCCTGCAAGACCCCGTGACATTTAGCATATGCATGAGAAACACACTGCTGTCACAGTGTCATCAGGGCTGTAAACCTCCCTCCCATCATTCCCCCGTCTCCTGGAACTCAGCCCAGCCTCCTCTGTCCCTCCCATTGACACAAGGCACTGTCTGTGTACACGGCCAATCTCTCTATGGCATTGTCGTGCTGGCTCAGCAAACTTCAGGGTTCCCACACCTGGCCACCAGCCCACGGCACACAGGCCTGTGCTTGAGTACTGCACACGTGTTGAAGATGGGGTGCACTGCTAGACTGTTATGCCTACTGTGGCCCTGGGGAGTGAGAAGTCTGGCAGAACCAGTCCCCCCACCCCGATGCCATCATCAGCTTAGTCTCATTGCCACGCAGGCATGGCTGACTCCCTGATGCCCGTTGCCACTAGGCACAAATGCCAGCTTTGTGGGCACAGAGAGGAGGAGAATGAGTGGTCGCGCCTCCTCAGCAGAGAGGCAGTTGCGCTCGGTATGCAGGTGTCCAGCAAAGCCAGCGCCTGCAGCCCTGACCTAGTCTCTAGAAGGCCCCAAGAGGTAGGTACACATGCAGGTGTAAGACAGACCTCCATGGCCAGCTTCTCCTGTTCAGCTAGTTTGCCACCATCAGGTGGGCCTAAGGTCCTGGGACCTGCCTCTCCCCTAGCTCTGCATGCATAGGAGAGAAAGGTATCAGTGAGAGAGAAGAGGTAGGGAAGGGAGGGTGCTAGGACGGAAGACATGAGGGAGAAAGGGAGGAAAGGGAGCCCGAAGTCGAAGAACAAAGAGACATGGTGACCACAGTGGTGTTAGGACCCGTGGTCCCTGTCAGAGGCAGGCAGGTATCAGGCTGGCCATGCTTCACATGCTCCCTGAGTCCCTGGGGTTTTTCTAAACGCTCTGCTGGCCTCTGACCCAACCTCTGCATTTCATCTGTGGGGAGTGACAGGAGCAATGAGCAGGCCAGCACTGGTCCGAGAGGATGGCCACCTCTGTTCACAGGGATGCATTTCCATGGTTACAGCCTTAGCAATTCCCTTTAGTGTTTTACTGGGTTTAAAGCAGCTGCCATGCCCTTGGGCCCTGATAAGTGAGGGTCCCAGTGGCCTCAGTTTTTTTTTTTTAGTTCTTGATGCTTGTTTTGCAGGCATTACTGCAAATAAGGCCAGCACCAGGCAATGTCTAACACGAGCTAACCCCCAGCGATGTTTTGGTGAACAGTGTCCCAAAGTGCTTCCATGGTCGAGGGAGGATTTCAAGGAGAAAGGATTTCTAGTTCCTTCTGTAACAGCCGCTGTGCTCACCTCATTTGAACCACAAAATAGCCTTACAGGTGAGGGACATTGTTTACCCAGTTTTGCACTTGAAGAAGTTCAGGGAACCTTAAAAATCACAGCAGTGTCTGGGTGGTCCCAGTGGTTCTCCCGAGAACAGGCTAGAGCAGCCCTTGGGTCAAGACTCCTTTGGGGAGGGGGTCAATCAACCCTTACACAGGAATTGTCTAAGACCATTGGAAACCACAGCGATTTACATTACAGTTCCTAACAGTAGCGAAATTACAGTTAGGAAGTAGCAATGAAAATAATTTTATGGTTGGGGGTCAGCACAGCACGAGGAACTGTATTAAAGGGTTGCAGCCTTAGGAAGGCTGAGACCCACTGGGCTAGAGGATCGGAGGCAGAAGGATGGCAATACAGCTCCACCCCACCTCTGCCTTTGTCCCGTGCCTCTAGCCCTGGCCACGGTGTTCCGTGCCTGCTTGCTACCCACCAGCTGTGCGGCCCTGCGAGCACAGGCCTCTCTGCTCTGCCTCCGAATTGCCACGTTGGCGGCAGAAGCGGGAAGCGTATTGTGAGCAGAAACAAAACGGAGTGGTTTTTCCTTTTCTGAAGGTGGTAATGGTGCAATTAGTGGATAAGCCATTACCCCCTCCTCCCTGGCTTGCCTCCCTCCTTCCTCTCCACCTCCCCTTTTTTTTCTCTTTCCTGAAAAAAGTGGCTGAATTGAAGAGCTCTCCCTCAATCTTCCACTGACTCTCAGGAAGAGGGATAGGCCCCCCCCCCCCCATGTCTCCAAGGTCCTCTACCCTCAGTTGGGTCAGGCACTTGTTGGTGTTGGAGAATAATTAAACGTACCACTATGTCTACAAGTGAGGCAAGTAATACAGTGATTTGTGGATTCTGAGGGGCAAGTTGGAAACGGAGAGAATTTGCATTTCTCTGCCCTTGTGCCCTTGTTCACTGGGGACAATGCTGACCTGAGACCCCTGCACAGCCACCTGTGAGAGAGACCGAGGCACCTTTTCTTTTTCTGGATGGAGGGGTGGGGTGTTAAAGATCCAGCTGCATTATGGGAGTAGCCATGGACTCACTTTAAAACTTCCATTTTTGCTTTCTACAAACTGAAACCCATTCAGGTTTGTCTACTTCCCAGAGCCCATTTAGAGCCTAGGCCGTTCCATCTTTAGGGGGGTCTTCTGCAAGGATGACTTCCTATTTTCTAGAAAATGATATGGGGGTTCAGAGAGCTTCCTCAGAGACTTGCGTGCCAGGGTCACACAGCTAGTAAGTGGCAGAGCTGGGACTTGAACTCAGATCCCTGGTCTTAACCGCCGTGCCTTGGGGTGTGATTTGTTGCTGCAGGTGTGAAGAGGTGAGGCCATCGGGGAAGATGACTAGAGTGTGGGAAAGAAGGCACCAGGGCAGGATACACCCATGCCGCTGACCCAGCCCTAGGTGAGCCAGGCCACGCTCGCCTCCTTCCAGTCACCTCTCTCCAATCCTACCTTGACGGGAAGCACAAGCAGAAACTGGGACAGTAGCCCCAGGAGACCAAGTCTGCACGGTCCCTCTAGGGGTATGGGTGGGGAGAGCTGGCAGAAGAGGTCTTGGGAGGGTGACAGCTAGGGGTGAGAAAGCAGCCAGAACCATTCCCTCAGAGTCCTGGGTCTGCTCCCTACTTCTCCCCCAAGCTCGAGTGACAGTGTGATACACACAGTGGCTAAAAAGCAGGGAGGGCAGGCACAAAATAGGGACAGAGGCAGAGGCTAAGTCAACCAGACCAGTTCTCAGAGGGAGCAGAGAAACTGCAGAGACTACAAGGGGGAAGGGAAGGAGAGAGAGATGAATTAGCCATCATTCCCCTGTAAACCTTAGAACCCAGCTGTTTCCAGGGCAACGGGGCAATACCTGTCTCTCTAGAGGAGATGAAGTTGCCAGGGTAACTACATCCTGTCTTTCTCAAGGACCATCCCAGAATGTGGCACCCACTAGCCGTTACCATAGCAACTGCCTCTTTGCCCCACTTAATCCCATCCCGTCTGTTAGAAGGGCCCTATAGTTGGAGGTGGGGGAGGTAGGAAGAGAGAAGATCACTTGTGAACTAAGTTTGTTCTCTTTCCCTTCTCCATCCCCCTCAGCACATCACCCTGGGAAAACAGGGTTCACTTACTCCTGGGTCCTCACAGTCCTGCAGTATGGTGTATATGGGGGGGGGGGCAGGGCAACCCAGGAGCAGGTTTTGAAGTGGAAGGCAGGCAGGTGTTGGGGAGGCAGTTACCGGGGCAACGGGAACAGGGCGTTTCGGAGGTGGTTGCCATGGGGACCTGGATGCTGACGAAGGCTCGCGAGGCTGTGAGCAGCCACAGTGCCCTGCTCAGAAGCCCCAAGCTCGTCAGTCAAGCCGCTTCTCCATTCGCACTCAGGAGCACGGGCAGGCGAGTGGCCCCTAGTTCTGGGAGCAGAGCAGCAGCGTCCCAGTCCTAGTTCCCAGCCTGAAGCCTCACTTGCCTGCCCAGTGCCAGGATGGCCACCATCACCTGCACCCGATTCACAGAAGAGTACCAGCTCTTTGAGGAACTAGGAAAGTGAGTCACACCTCAGGGAGTCTTGGAGGGCATGGGGGATCAGCCTCTCGGGCAGGGGGCGTGTGCCTATGTGGCTAGAGTTCTCCCGTGCTTGCAGAGGAAGGTGTGCTGCATGATTTGGGGGCACCGTGTGTGCACAGGGTGTCCAGTCAGGCGTTGACACATTTATGTGTCCATCCAGCCTGGGTGTGTGTGTGTGTGTGTGCCGAAAGGGTAACAGATTGATGATATATGCAACTACGTATGTAAGAGCACATGACCTGGGTACACAAAGATTCTTAGAAACTTGGCATTTTAAAGGGATTTTCCCACTTGGCGGTGTCCAAGCTGCGATCTTTTCTGTTGTTGAACTTAGATACCTGCATCAGCAGAGAGTTCATCAGCTCCCACCTGGAGACCCTGACTGTAGACACGGTGCCAAGTGGCACATCCCCTTTCCCTTTCCCAGTCCTCTACCAGGAGCAAGGGCTTTGGTATCGAAGGGGTTAACGTGAAAGCAATTGAGGTGTTGGGAGGAGGGGAGGAACAAGCGGCAAGCTGGGGGGGGGGATGCCACTGTGGCAGCGCTGTGTACAGAAAACAGTAGGCAAAGTTACCCCTCCTGTCGTCCCTCTGATGTTGAGAGAAGGGTAGGAAGCAGAAAAGAGCAAGGTTTCCGAGGGTAGATCAGCAGGCTACAGATATAAGGGAAGGTTTCTAGATGTTCCCAGATGGGCTTGTGGGGGTCCTGGGAATGGACGGATCAGGAGTTGGGGAGCAGTTTGGCAGAGTGCCCTATGGACACAGAAGTCTCCCTACCAGCCCGGTTTGGTTCCTGCTGTAGCAGCAGGAACATGAGACGAGGGGCCCAGTGAACAGATGTGTGCCAGTGTGAGATCTGGAGGTACATGTGCCAGTGAACATCTTTGGGGAGAGGCTATATATGACTTCCATGGGAAGCAGATGGAGTTGTATAAGAACTGACAGTGGGTGCAGTGTGTGAACTGAAAAGACACACAAATACTGGTGCAAGTAAACCATGAAGAGACATGCAAGTGTGTTGCTTGTGTGGAAAGTCTAAAAAATGTCAGTGTGCCCTGCAAGAGTGCATGTGCATAATTATGCAAGGGATGCTCTCAATTAGGTTGCAGCAGAGGTACAGACATGCATCTGCGTGCAGATGTGCGGCAGGACAAAACTGTGTGCCTATCAGTGAACATGAGTGTGCATGAGATGTATAAGGTCACAGATGAGAAGTGTGGACAGAATGTTCTTGAGTGTGCATGTATCTTGAGGAATATATACAGAAAGTGTGTGTGTGTGTGTGTGTGTGCGTGCGCATGCGTGTGCCGGTGTGAGGCCTGGGCTCGTGTGGGTGTGTGGGTGCTATGGGCATGTGTGAGCTTATGCTAGTGTCTGCATATGTGTGGGAGGCAGAGCTACGGCTGTGGATAAGCATAGCCCCTGAAGACACACACACACGCACACACACACGCACACACTCACTCAACTATCTAGAGACCTACACATACCCTAGCTCCCTTGTGCAAATGTGTGTTCTTGCTTGTCTCCAGACTTCCTGCTGTTCTGTGTGTCTTTGTGTTGGAGATGGGGGCAGGAATATACTTTTTAAGGCTGCTCTGGAGGACTGTCTCTTAACTTTATCTGGGACCCCTTTCCAGAGCGTGTCTGGTGTTTACCTGGAACTCAGGGCTTCCTGAATAGACGGGAGCTACCTTTCCGGAGTCCCTGAAGCTGGTTCTGTCAGGACTGCGTCACAGAACACAGTGAAATGGAGTTGCGTTGTGATTCCTCCAGGGAACAGAGCCACACCAAAGTGCTCTTTTGCCCTGAGAAGAGATGGGGGATCATTAGCACTGGGCTCATTCGCCTGACTTGGCTTTCTCAGCCCCTCTGCCTGCCTGGATGTGAACAGATTCTAGGGTAGGGGCAGAATTTTAAGGGATAAGGAACAGTGGTATGGCCATGGCAGGAAAACCAAGGGTGGCAGGGATGTCCAGGCCTTGTCCAATCATTTTTAGACATCTTCATTCCAGAACTATTGGTGCTCTTAACCTTTTTTAGGTCATTTATTCCTCCAGGAATCCAATGGAAGTCTAAATAGACACTCCCCAGAAAAAACGCACAAACCTTCACAATGTTGCATGCAGTGTCGGAGCTTGTGGGCCCTCAGGGGACCGTGCAGAAACCTGCGCTTGAGGGTGCTTGTACGAAGGAGAAGGGGCTGTGGTGGGTCTGTTTTGTGGCTTGGGTATCTCTGTGACCAGGGCCAGGGCACCCTGTGGAGGATGAGTTGGATGGCTTTTGCTCTGCACCTTAGCCTTAGTCTGAACTAACGCAGGGGTGTTCAGGGAGGGGCTGCCCCATATGACCCTCAGCCCTGTGACGTTGGGTGGACTGCCACTCCTTCTGGCCTGTACGTTGTGAGGATTAGATAGATGGTGTGTGGAGACACAGTCTCAAGCCTGACATACGATGGGCCTCTGGGGGGCGTTGTTGCAGGGGTGGATGTTACCCTTAAGAATTGGGCAGGCCTAAAGGAGGAACAGAGCCTGCTCCATGTTTATCTTTTGTGTAGAGGGGCTCTTGTTTAGGAAGATGTTGCTCAAGGTCTCCTTGGGCTTTTCTTATGGGGCAGAAACGATGAAGAAGTCTGCTTGAAGAGTTCACCGTTCGGTTGATGATCCTGCATCTTCTAGCTAGGATACTGGGTGGCTACCCAGATTCTGAGCCCCCACCCAGAACTCTGCCCACATAACTATCCAGTCACCTTGCTCAGCTGGGCCTGAAAGAGACTTTGGTTGACCTCTGTCAGGGCTCTGGGTTGCCACAGCCTTGAAGAGGGCTAGCACATCTCGAAGACTTACTGGCATTCTGCCCAGCGAAGACTGGCTTGTCACCAGCTGCCTTTGAGGAGGAGCCTAGGGTGCAAGCAGAGATTTCCTCTCCTGCCTGGATGTAGGCCTGAGTCGGGGTTTCTGAAAGTTCTTTATACTATCAGACTGATGATCCCCTCCATGCCTTGCCACTGAAGCATATGCATTCAGATAAGCTAAGACGTTGATTCTGGGTCCCCTACCGGGTTGGGGGGGGGCTGTTTCTAGGGACCCAGAGATGGGCTCACTCCCCTCTCCCACCCTGGGATGAAAGAAAGGGAAGTACTTGCTTTGAGTAGACTGAGGTGCTAGCTGCAGGGCCAGGGTGGGCCAGGGTAGCCCTCAGTATTCCCTTCCATTCTCTCAGCCTTCTCTGATGTCCAGAGCTGATAGAAAAGCAGGAAGGGTGCTAGTGGTGGTGGTAGTGGTGGGAGGTGGGGTAGAGAGGGACAAGGGAAATTCTAATGAGCTCAGACAGGACCGTGGTAGGAAGCTTCTAGCCATTGCCTCCATCTGCCCAACCTGTACAGGTTAGCGAAGCAGAGCCTTGCTCCGCAGGCCTACGATTGCTGCTCTGGACAGGAGAAGCCCCAGGAGGAGATTTTACTTAAGAGAGAGAGAGAGAGAAAGAGAGAGAGAGAGAGAGAGAGAGAGAGAGAGAGGAGGGAGGAGAGAGCAGCGTTCAGCCCACTCTTTTCTCTCTAGAAACAGGGATCTGAAGTTGACTCAGGCGGTGCAGGGTAGGGGAGGCTGGTGGGAGTGTGGGTGGTCACAAGGTTGACAGGGACTTGGGGGCTGGTCCCTGAGCCCAAACTCCTTCCTCCATAGCTTTTCATCCTGTACCACACTGGGGTGGGCTGATCCGTGGGTGGTGGCCTGGCTTCAAGGCAGCTCCCCGTACCGGGCTTTCTAGGTGCTGGATCCTCAAGGCCTCTTTGGGACGCAAGTTCCAATGCTCTGTAGCACGTGTGCGGCCATTCGTCCTTTCCCTGCAGCGCTGGAAGGAGAGTGGACGGTGTCATGTGAGAGGACACTAAGGCACCAGGGCCGCACTTAGAGTCAGGGTTATTCTACTCCTGAGTCCTCCCACCAGCAGCACTGGGGCTCCTGGTGCCTTTCCATCCATTAGCTTGTGCCTGAAGGAAGTGGGCAGAACCTACACATCCATTTTACAGATGAGCAGACTGGAGCTAAAGGAGGTGGCAGGAGAGCTCAAGGGCCTGGTCCCTGGAGGTTTCTGAGCAAGGCCCCATCTGGGGCTGTATCTGTGAAGAGCTTTCCTCTTGCCCATGAGCCGGGGAAAGTGGTCTTGGTGGTGGTGAGGGGGGTAAGGATGAGCTGGTGTTCATTTTCTGGCCACGATTCAGCCCGGAGTTTACTGGGGTACCTGGGGTGACTCACTCGTTCTTTGTGTGCTTCCGCTTTACTGTCAATAAAATGGGGGTCCTCTCTCCGGAGATGTCTGCAGTGCTGCCCTCTGTGACCTCCCTCGGTGGTGGAAATCGGCGGATCCTGTGCTCCCATCATGGGCGGGCTGTGGAGACTGTCCATGCATATACAGATGGAGACACCTCATGGAGGGTGGTGTTTGGTCCCAGGCTACAGGAGACTACAGTGAGAGGGACCGGAGGCCAAAGGATGGGAAATGGGGAGGCAGGGCCTGGACGGCAGGGAGAGGCACAAGGACAGGGGAAGGGACAGCCTTTCCCGGCTTCTCTGCAACATCAGAGCAGCAAGCAGGCACATGTTCTGGTGCATGCCGCAGCCCTCCACCCCCACACAGGCGCCCCCACACAGGCTGAGACACACTGACACTCTCCAAGCCTCCTCCCTCCCTCCTGCCTCCCTCTAAAGCACGGTGACACTGCTGTCAGCAGCCCCTGCAGCCTGAAGCCGCAGCCCTCTGTGTGGTGTGAGGGCAACCCTCTGGGCTGATGTGCACATGCATGCGTGCACACACACATGCACACGCACGCACACACTGGCACAGAACATATAGTATGAATTCACCTTTAGTGCAGGGACAGCAAGACAACACCACGTGGGCTTCTGGACTCTGCCTTACTACTTACCTCTCCGTTTCTCTGGTCTCTATTTCTTCCTCTCCCACTTCCTTGTCTCTGG